ATCAGTTAGCTTTTTCTTTTAGGATGCTAATTAAACACATTGAAGGTAGAGGTAGTGATACCCATCTTTCAGCCAGGCCTAATCTTCAATTACAGGTAATGAAGGTAAATCTGACGTCTCAAGTAAGAATTTAGCCACATTCTACATCCAATTTTTCTAACTTCTGAACATGAAATTTCTTGCTAGTCTCTGCTTAATTTTTTTAAAAAAAAATCCAATTACTTCTCTCTAGCTATAGTCTAACTCTAAGCACTGAACATCTTTTACTTCTCTTTCCTTGTGCAATCCCAACTTTCAGGTAGTGTTTAACACCTTCGCTAAGTTTAAGTTCACCTTGACTCAGTTGCTTTTTCTCAGCAGAACTTCCTGCTGCAGTGTCTATCAGAGACAAATCCCCCACCTTTGCCTTCTAATTCCTTTAGAGAGGGTTCGTAAACTACATTTATTCCTTTGTATCTTTTTCTGTTTCCAAGTTCTATGTCTCTACAACTCTAGACCTATAGTCCCAAGGATATTTTGAGGGTCATTTTGGGCCCTGTTTCTGATATTTCTGAGTACAAAGAAGATAAAATTTAAAACTGCCTTGGGCATAGGAGCAGTGTTTCTTGAAAGAGAGAAAACCCTAAGTAAACTTCCAACTGTTGTCATCCTTAATAGAGATGGTGGTCACTGGTTCATGTTAGTAGTATAATTGAAAGAGAATAATGTAACAAGGATAAATGCTTAACTTCTGGTACTTTGTGGGGTGGTAGATGGGAGGCAAAATCACACAGATGATTCCTTTGGATGATAAGCAACCAGGAGGGTAGAAATTTGCTAACAACATGGAATCTCGAATCAGAATGCTTGCTTTCAAATCCTGACTGCATCAGTTACTGGCTGCATGACCTTGAGCAAATTAACCTTTCAGTACCTTGACTTTCTCACCTGAAAAACTGAAAAAGTAACTGTACCAGCCTCATAAGGTTGTAATTGAGGATTAACAAAAATAATACATAGAAGGTGCTTGGTGTGGCGCTTTCCATTCAATATATGTTAGCTGTTACTATTGTTATAGTATTATAAGTTTATACCTTTAACATTTGTAATGATCTTAAAATATTTTGTTATTTCTGAAATATATTTTCTAACTGAATAACTCCCTCAGTCAGTGCCTCTATTTAAACTTGTAAAATCTGCATAATAATGAAAGTGATCTACTTATGTGGGAGTATCATGAATCACAGGTGTCTGGTTTCTGGAATCTTCTCTGAAGGATGATATGGGAGATGAGATAATGTCTGTCCCACGATCTCAGGGAACTGGGATAGATTTCAGCAGTATCTGAGCAGGAATTCATTTTACTTTGGATCTCCATTTGCGTTTGAATCGGTAAAGCCCAATATGAGGAAGAACAGGACCTACAACCTGTCTTTCTTGGCTATCTAATTAGCACCCATACAGGACAGAGAAAGAATCTGGTTTTATTCATTGGGATTTAGCAACAATAAACAGGAGTGGCTCAGGATGAGGCATAAACCCTTCCTGTAATTCTTCTAAAGCTAACTTGGTGGAGGGAATAGGGGGAGAAAACCACCTGTCTTATTTAAACAGAGGTAAAATAATACAAAGTCTTCTTTGGTCATGGGACCCTTGTTGATATTTCTTTTCTTTGAAAATCTTCTGCACTTGCTGTCCTCAACATGCAATTTAGTCTTTAATTATATCACATTATGCTGTTCATTTTCATGTGTGCTACTCACATCTCTCCAAAGAGATTGGAAACAATTTGAGGAGACAGATCATGTTTCTTCTGCAAGACCCAGGTGCTGAGAAATGCAGTACACCCAATAATCAATCATGGTATACATTGAAAAAAGCTCTGATTGTTTCATTGGTTATATTTGAAAATTGACACACTATCTGGGGTATAAAAATCGAACTTCTACTTAATATCACATTCAAAGGTGGACTCCAGATATATGAAAGACCTAACGTAAAAGGTAAAACTATAAACTTAATAAAAGAAAATATAGTAAAATATTTTTATGACTTAGAAAGAGAGAAGTATTTCTTTAAAAAAATACCTTCAAAACATAATCATAAGGCAAAGAAAATTGACAAATATGATTACTTCAAAATTATATATTTCCATTTCATAAAGGACAATGGTCAATGTTAATAAAAGACAGAATAGATGAGTGCAATGTTTACAACCAACACACTAATAATATCTAGAAAATATAGCAAAGTATTAATTTTTATTAATTAAAGACAAAGTATTATTTGTATTGCTTTAATACAAATTTGTATTAAAGCAAAACAAATAAAAAATCAATTCTAATAAAAAAATAGGCAAAGAATATGTATAGGCAGTTTATAGGAATGGAAGTCCAAAAGCTAATAAGTATATGTAATGATGTACAAATTCATTAGTAATTAGAGAAATGCAAATTCAGTCACAAGTAAAATGGGACTTTATGCCTATTAGGCTGGCAAAAATTAGAAATCCAAATAATACCAAGTGATGTGCACTGCATGTTTGTGTTTCTCCAAAATTCATATTTAAGATCCTAACCCCCAAGGTGAGGGTAGTAGGAGATGAGGTCTTTAGGAGGTAATTAGGTCATGAGGGTGGAGCCATTGTGAAAGGGATTAGTGTCCTCATGAAAAAAAATATTTCTCCTAACTTCCACCATGTGAGGACACAGCAAGAGGATGGTCTTCCATGAAGCAGGAAGCAAGCCCTCACTCGGTACTGACGTGCTAGTGCCTTGATCACCTTGCTCTGGGACGCCCTGACCTCCAGAACTGTATAAAATAAGTGTCTGTTGTTTAAGCCACCCAGTCTATGGTATTTTTGTTATGGCTGCCCAAACAGACCAGGACACCAAGTGTTGGCAAAGATGTGGGGACATGGAACCCGCACGCAGGGCAGATGGGAGGGCACGCTGATTCAGCCACTGTGAGGAGCAGTCCCGCGCCACTTAGTCACATCAAGCGTATGAACACTCAATTACCCAGTGATGCTGCTTCCGGAAGTACTTGCATGGAGAATGCACATGAAACACAGAATGGCTGCCTGTGGGGGAGGGGAGCAGGGGCTTATGCAATGGGGATGAAGGAGGATAAATAAACGACGATATGCAACTGTTATGTACCCATAATAATTAAAAATAAAAACGTTAAAAATATAAACAATGACAACCAGAAAAAGGCCTTGCATGTACGCATGATAATAACGTGTCATTACTTAACTCAGCTTTTGTACCTGAGATTCTTGCACTCCTGGAAACCCGTGCTTAACGAAAACTTAAATGTCCACTTTGAAACACAGTTTCTGTTGGACATGCACCTCTGCATTTCTCTCACTTATTCTAAGATCTATTGCATTCCTGTCCATTTACTTCAGTGAGACAGAATTTCTTAGTTAACACAATAACAGTAATGTTGGCTGTATAACATAAATGAAACAGATTTCAAACATTCACAGTTAAATTATAATATTTTCCATTATTTGATGAATTTGTTTATCTTTTTAAGTAAGGTAGATTTAGTTTTGTTGTTGTTGTTGCTTTTTTTTTGTTTCGTTTTGTTTTACAATGAGGAGGTCACGTGGAGTCACTTAGTATTAGAGGAGTAGAAGAGGTATTGGATATATATGTGTGCAGGCTCCAGGTTCATTCGGGCATTACTCAAGCATCGATTGCTAATGGTCTTTTCTAAGATACTCTAAAAGAGTGAAGAATGTATATCAGTTTGTAAACATTAATTGTTGGTTGGGGAAGATGAGATCACAAGATAGAAAATCTGTCCGTATTTAATGTTAACTGAAAATATAGATTATAAACTCCATCTATGATGTCATTGTAAATATGTTGCCATTGAGCACGCTATAGACAAGGATGGTGACATGAAAAAATGACAACTGCTATGAGAAAGAAAATGTTCTGAAAAATAAATTCTTTGGCTAAAACAAAACAATATGCTGTCATTTCTTCCCTTTTAAAATAACTCTGTGCTTCTGTGCTTTCTCGTCAGGGAATTTAATCTGAATTTAGTTTTTGAATGAGGATTTATGGGCATCCTGAGCAGAATTATTTTATATAACTGAGTGTGCTTTTTTCCCTTTAGGGGAAGTCTTGTATTTAGCTTTCACAAAATTGTTAGCATATAACTTGAATATTACACAAGTCTAGGTTTTTTGTTTTTGTTTTTGTTTTTTTAAGACAGAGTCTCACTCTGTTGCCCAGCCTAGAGTGCCGTGGCGTCAGCCTAGCTCACAGCAACCTCCCACTCCTGGGCTCAAGCAATCCTCCTGCCTCCCTCCTGAGTAGCTGGGACTACAGGCATGCGCCACATGCCCGGCTAATTTTTTTATATATTTTTTGGCCATTAATTTATTTCTATTTATAGTAGAGACGGGGTCTCGCTCTTGCTCAGGCTAGTCTCGAACTCCTGAGCTCAAAGGATCCGCCCACCTTGGCCTCCCAGAGTGCTAGGATTACAGGTGTGAGCCACTACACAGGCCTATTGTTTGTTTTTTAATTAATACATTTGCAAGATAAAGTGAACATTTTTGATCTTCTTTTCTTTTCTCATATATTTTTAAAATACTCAAAATCTTAACATGTGATTTTATTAAAAAATGTAGTCTTATAAATAACGAGTTTAGATATGTTAGGCTTTCTATCGAAGAAATATTGTCATGGAATTGGGGAGCAATGGACTAGGATATCTTGGCCTCAGTGCTCCCATCTCTAAATGAGTTGTTTGAGTTAAAAAGTGTGATATATCAGAAACACCAGTTTGATAGACAGGCAGATTCCCCGACTCCTCTCTCCCCACCTCTCCATCCCATTAGACATTGACTAAGCAGGTCTTGGGTGGGGCCTAGGAATCTACAATCATGCTAATGCAGGTGGTCTTCAAGTCATTTTTTCAGAATAGAGGGGAATGATCTATAAAAGCCCTTCCACCTGCATTATTCAATGATAAATAAATACTTTTACCCAACTTACCAAATTTTCACTCATCTCCCGTAAGTCCTTAAGTTGGTATGTGCTGCTTTGTCCAGAATCGCTATTGACTCGTAGATCTGAAATTTTAAAGGTGCCGTGGTAGTACTCCATAGTTGGGCCTGTGATGAAAATGAAAAGTAGGAAGTTAAGTGATTTGGGCAAAGCTTTTAGGATTTCAGACTCAACTATAGGCTCCTCTAATATCAAATCTTTTATATATCACTGAGATTCTTTCTAATTGAGGTTTATTAAAAAATAATAAAATAACAATGTCTTATAATACGCTAATAGCAGTAGCTGACATCTATTGAGTGCCTACTGTGGTGCACTTCACTGGTATTAACTCATTCAATCCTCACCCCAGCTCTCTAAGATTGGCATCACCTCCATGTTACAGAGGAACTAGGTAAGGCATAGAGACATTAAGTAACTTGCTCTGTGTTGTACACCTAGTAGGTGACCTAGCCAAGCTTTAAAACCAGAGACTAGAGACTTAGGTCTCGAGCTTGAATATTTCATTACTACATTGCCCGTTGGTGAGTTGAAAAGTAAATGAACTTCTTTGTATGTTTTGATTTATAGTGACAGAGCCAGGCACACCAAGAAAACATGAAAAGAAAGGGTAGGGAAGAGCTGTTTGAGGTTGAACGTGAGAATAGTGTGCAACAGGAATAAGTTAATCAGATCTCTGCTTGGCTATTAGGAAAGGGAAGAAAGAAACGAGAGAGCAGTGAGACTTCTGAAGAATTTGGTAATCTGAGGAGTAAGGCCCAGAGAGTGCAAAGAAGGTACAAAGCTACAAAGAGTTAACACTAGAGAATGGAAAAAACACAGAACAACCTAGATCTCAGAGGCCTGGCTCAGGGAGGTGCAATGGTTTTCCTGACTAGGGACCTAGGAGAGAAAGAGGGATCTCAGGAAGGGGTATCTCTGAGCCTTTTTCTGGTCTCCCTGATTACTTAGCTATATAATTCATACTGTTGTCAAACCTTACTGTCACGGTAAAGGGGCTTTTGTGCAACCAAATTAACTGACTTGAAAATCTTTTGCCATTGGCGTAAACTGCAGTTGGGATTGTCATATTGAGCCTAGGACTCTGGGCTTAAGCCCTTTAAGGCTCCTAATAGAGTCTGCTCTCCCCCATTAAGTCTGTGGAAGGTGACAGTAGAAAAGACTATTCAAGTAAGCAGCCTGAGATAGTCCTGTTGTCACATACATCTATGCGAGAGTGACATTTTGGAGATTTGTCAAAAAATGTAAATGGTTTGTACTCTGTGCAGAGAGAGATGTGATATAAAAAAGGAGAATTCAGAAATGAATTATTTGTGTGATTATAAATATATTAGTCTATAAAAATATAATCCCTGAATACTGTTTTAGAAAGAGTAAATTTTTTTCTGAAAATAAGTGATAATATTGTGTACCTAAAATACTTATACATTATCAATAATTTTGAAATTCATTATTTCATTAGACATGTGCTTTTCCTTTGCCCTAGAAATGTTGGTGGACAGAAAATGATGGTCATAAGTAAAAGAATCAATTTTAATAACTAAATAACTTATCATAGTCTTTAATTTTAATACACAATGAGTAATGAGAGTTCTTTACTACAACTACTAGTAAATTTAAGATAATTACTGTTTTTGATCTTTTTGTGTAGATTCTCAAAAAAATACTGGATTGGGAGCTCTCAGGAAATAAGAAATCTGTTTACTTTGCTTAATGCTCTATCCTGACTGTTGGGAAATATGATTGAGGAATTAATGAGATGTGGCTCATAAGACCATCATTTTATTGTATAACCCAATATTACTATATTAAAGACAGAAACGGAGTTTCAGGGTTTGCCTGAAGGAATGTGTGGACTCAATGGTTCATTATTAGAGGCTGCTATCATGGGAGAGCTCTCTGATCTCTGGTGGGATGTTTTCCAGGAAGGCTTCCCTATCTCAAAATCTGTGAGCTTCCCTGTCTTGAAAGACAAGACAAGGCAAATATGGCCACAGGATGGGAGCCAGAGACAATGAGTGTACTTTGCCAGAGATGCGCCCGGTGGTTATAAAACCTGTTTTATAGAGATGGGCTTCCTGCTCTCTCCTGTCTGTCTACCTTTAAGTCCACCATAACTAATCAAAGAAATACAGAGTCACTAAACCTCTTTTGTTTTACCTTTGTTAATTGACAACTGCCTCTTAGAATTTAGAATAGCGCCCGTGAAAGACTTTGTACTTTTGTTCTCCTAGATAGATTAGAAGCCCCTGAGAGACTTTTGACCCTAACCACTACCTGTATCCCTAGCAACTGCATCCCTGATATGCAAACTATGTTACCCTGACAACTGGTAATGATGTTTGTGATTATAAAAAACCTATATGAATCTACACCATATTGCTGGTGTTTGTGGAGATACACCAGTCCCTAGGTACTCCCGCTGTGTTATATCTGACTATACTTATCATCTATCTATCTATTATCATCCAATCTACCTATTAAACTATAACTATACTTAGTCTCTGTGTATTGTTTTATTTCTCTCTGCTCCTATCAATTTCCTTATCCTCTTGGGACCCTATCTTAGGGACTTGGCTCCGGGAGAATTAGCTAATTCCTCTCGGGCCTGCCAAAATACCACTCTCGCCCCACACCTGACTACCAGATGATACTCACATGTATAGATAGAGAGTTATTTGTTGTAATGACCAAATACATTAAAAGAATATGCGGAATGTGCATTACAGAATCCATTTCATTTTAAAGACTGGAATTTAACATACATGAAAATAAAGCTTTGCAGAACAATGAAATCAAACCCAGCAAAATCCCTAATTTTACTTACGAGGGACTAAGAAGTGGACCAGAAGACCAATGGCCACCGCCACCACTGTCAGCAATAACACAACGAGAACCGCAACCATCCATGGCTTCAGATCTCTGCTTCGGCTGCCAAATCCTACTGCTCTGCAACAAGGAAAGCCTGCTTGTTACTCTCCCATTGTACACTTACAAGTTTTCTGGTTCTCCTAGAAAACATTCAGGTTGCTCTAGCCTGCCTTTCCCAGCAAGAAGTCAATTTTGGTTCAGGTCGTCTTGGCCTGCTGGAAGGTGTTTAAAGACCAGGATGTTGGAATCATAATATTGCTCCTCGTTTCTGTTTCTAGAGACATCTGGTGGCCTCTCTATGGTGGTCAGGCCTGATTTTCCTTAGCAGTGTAGTCCAAAATCACTCATCCCCTGCTGAGTATACTGCAAACTAGTACAACCTCTGTGGAAAGTAATATGGAGATACCTCAAAGAGCTACAAGTAGAACTACCATTGGATCCAGCAATCCCATTACTGGGCATCTACTCAAAAGAACAAAGGACATTCTATTAAAAAATGCATCTGCACTAGAATGTTTATAGCAGCACAATTCACAATTGCAAAGATGTGGAAACAACCCCAGTGCCCATCAGTATGTGAGTGGATTAATAAAATGTAGTATATGTATACCATGGAGTTCTACTCAGCCACAAAAAACCCTGCCGATCTAGCACCTCTTGTATTATTATCCTGGATGGAGCTGGAGCCCTTTCTACTAAGTGAAGAATGGAAAAACAAGCAACACATGTAGTCATCATCAAATTGGTATTAACTGATCAACGCTTATGTGCACATACAGTAATAACATTCATTAGGTGTGTTGGGCAGATGGGAGGGGGGAGGAGATGAGTATATTCACACCTAATGGGTGCTGTCTGGGGGGATGGACACGCTTGAAGCTCTGACTCAGGTGGGTTAAAGGCAATATATGTAACCTAAACATTTGTATCCCTGTAATATGCTGAAATAAAAAATAAATAAATAAAAACAAGCGTTTTCCTCCTTTTGAAAATATCTTTGGGCAACATAGCAGATGGACAATACCAGATTACAAAAGTGGCAGGAACCACAGGTTGAAGCTGAAGCTACTTAATCCTATATAAATAAACTTTCAACTTCCTATCAACTTTTCTGGATATGTATAAGCAATACATGAAAACAAAAATGTATCATTGCCTTCCCATTCTGTGTTAGTCATCTGCATTATGTCACTTCAGATTTGAAAAGAAATATACTTAGTAAAGACTTTTGGAATCTAGACATTTTCTAAGTAGAGATGCACCCTTTTGCTCATGCATTTTTTTTTTCCTGCTTTACTTGCACTTATAAAACAAACTCAGGTGTATTAATTTTCCATTGCTGTGTAACAAATCACCACAAATTTAACAGCTTAAAGCAACACCCACTTGCTAGCTCACACTTTTGTATGTGGCATGGTTGGGTTATTGGCTCAGGATCTCACACTGCTGGTGTTCATTGGGGCTGCTCTGACATCTGAGATTTGTGATCCTCTTCCAAGCTCACTCAGATATTAGGCTGAACTCAATTCCTTTTTTGTAGTTTTAAAATAATGTTTTTATTTAGTTTAAATTTTTTTAAAAATTTTTAATAGATTTAGGGACTACATGTTGAATTCCATTACGTGCATATGTCATGTAGTGGGGGAGTCTGGGCTTTTGCTGCACCCATCACCCAAGAACTCAATTCCTTGAAGCTGAGCTGAGGTTCCTGTTCTCCTGAGGGCTGTGAGTCAGAGGACTCTCTCAGTTCCCAGATGGCACCCATTCCTTGCTAGGTGGCCCCCTTCAGTCTCAAAGCCAGCAATGGAGAATCTCCCTCACATCAAATCTCTCTCACACTTCAGGTCTCTCTCTCCAGGTAGAGCCTAGTTGCTTGTAAGGTGTCACCTGATTAGCTTGGGTCCAACAAGAATAGTCTCTCTATTTTAAAGTCCACTGATTTGGGGACTCTTGTTTCATCTGTAAAATCCCCTCACAGCAGCATCTAGATTAGTATTTGACTGAATTACTAGGAGAAGGTATATGTACGCTTGAGGGTGGGAATCTTGGGGGCCAGCTTAGAATTCTGTCTACCACAACTGAACATACCATGACTGTCATGAAAAAGGACAGAACCCTATAACCTTCAAAGAAAGGCTGTGGGATTTAAATCTTCTTTAATTTTTGTAGAGGGGATGCTGGGGTTCTACTGTTTCATGAAAAGGGAATTCTATGTTAGGCATATAACCAAAAGAAGACTAAGGGACATTTTATTCATGTCATAATTTTGGAAACACAAAATGAACTATTGGAAGTTCAAATGGAAAGAAAGCTAAAAGTCGTCCGTGATCGTGATGTAATTGGCATTCTGCATTCTTTGAAGGAAAGAGTTAGTAAAGAGGAACCTTATTCAGAGTCACACAACCTGAAATCGCCATGAAATCCAATTTATCATATCGATTACACCATCATTAAGTTTAATTATTCAGTATTTAGAAGGGTGTATCTGTGGCATGTATTTTCTAAGATATTGTCAATGAAAACATGGTGATAATTTGACTGATTTTGTGACTTTGCTTTCTGCAGTCTTGCAGGCCGAAAGACACACACTTTGAGACTATATGGAGCAGGAAGAATTGTTAGTGAACAGAGTTGGGATAATGCAGTTCCTTAGTAACAAAGCTCTAAGCTGGTGACTTCCATATATGTGAGTTCACAGATGACTGCAGTCGAGCCAAAGACAATATGGACCCCCTACTCCACAGGGATCTTCCTGCTTCTAGAAAAGCCTTCCCAAAGCCAACCACTCTGGCTGCTCCACATGCTCTTTATCAACCATATGCTCTTTATCATTTTATCTAAAAGCTCCAAATCTTTTCTCTTTCAGGGCTATTTTTCTGCTTTCTTGTAGATATATGTTGTCATTACACAAATGTAGGTGCACAAAGGCAATTTACAGACAGGTTATGTTCCCCTAAGTTTTCACAAAGAATTTCAAAATACACTATCTGATTTTAAAAGTAATTGCTGATCAGCTTCCCAGGCCAACCTGCAAGTCTATTTAACTCCTAATGTAACTGAACAAAGATGATAAAGATAGTGAATTCCAGGGAGCCACATCATGCAGAAAACTTTGCTCTTCTCTTTGTAGTGGGGGGCCCATCCCTGAAAGAAAGTCCTTATAGAATCAAAGAGCTAATTCTCCTTTCACCAAATAAAATCATTCCCTTTGAGCTGCTGAACTCAGCCATTTTCCACAAGGAAAACAACCTTTTGTACTGTAAACTTTTCTGTTAATATTTAAAATAGCACAAATACCAAATTCCCAATAAGTTAAGAATGAGAGGTAAAGATTTTTAAAAAAATTCCTCTAATTCTTCATCTGCCTGGAACACGCTTCTATAGGCATCTTGGTATTACCTATATTATTTTTGTATTCCCAATAGGTCAATTTCTTGTCATTGCCCAAGATACTTAAGAAAGACATCTATGAATGTGTTGGGGTTAGGAAGGTGTGGATAGCTTCAGTTTAATTTCCAGTAATTCTGTGATCTAGGGAAACTTTTTCCTCTGTAATATGGGATAATCATAGGGCCTAACTCATGAGGATTGTGAAGAATAAATAAGACAATGTATGCAAAATGATTCATATTTAGTAAATAAGTAATAAATGGCAGCTGTTATTACAGTAGAGATGAATCACTACCTACTATGGAATCATACTTATCTGATCATAAACTCCTATAATCTTGGCTTTCAAACACTTTATACACATACCTGCCATCCTTCCTCTTTTATCTACCAAATATTATTCCCTAAATGTCAAACAATTGGAAACGAAAACAAAATAGAGAAGAGGATGTTATAAATCAGCCTTTAAATCTCAATGATAGGAACACATATTTCAGTTCATCAACTATAGATAGAACGTTATGGAGTGACCTGCACTGTGAAAATTTTAGTCAAATTTTAAATTAAAAAAACCAAAAAAGTTACTTTTCTCTTGAAATTTTTCAAAAAGAAGAAAAAGCAAGATATCCTATTAGTTAAACCCAGGCTCTGGCTCTATTTTCTAGGTTCAAATCCCAGCTCCTCCACTCATCATTGCTTTGTGATGTTGGGCTATTACTTTCTTCATCCACAAAACGGAGATAATATAATAGTACCTAAGTCATAGACTTGCCATAAAAATTGAATGAGCTAATATAATATAATGTGTATATGGCACATAGTAAGCACTATGAGTTTGATGAAGACTAACAACAAAGTGATATTTAATTTATAATTTATACCAAGTTTAGCAATCAGTAACAAATGTGGAAGCTCTACTTTGACATTTTGGTTTCATCTCTGAAGATATAGTTTTGGAATATATTAGGGAATGGTCGTGGCAAATTAAAAAGTTGGAACAGTTATCTGAAATGAAATGAAAATATAAAATGTGAATATTTGCAATGGTACTGCTACTATTAGTAGTCTGCAGGACTACTTTTTTCTCTTAAAATGATAATGAAGAGGAGTCTAAGTTTTGCAGTTATTAAGAAATGCCTAAAATAAAGAACTATGAAAAGAGAGACCAGACTTCTGGGAATAGAGCAACAATCTGATGAAGTCATTTGGCATTTTATGTTTCCTAAGGGAGATAGCTGAGATTTTCAAGTGAGTGAATCACCCAACTAATAAATATATAGAAAAGACTAGGAACATAGATATTCCTAAAGGCAAATTCAAACAGAGATTCACACCAAAGTCAGAACAATCCCTGCAATATAGAGAAGAGGACCACAAACCCATATGTAGGTGAGACATAGGAAGTTGTAATAATTATTAAGTATCTGCTTTGCCTCAATCCTAAGCCTGCCTGTTGGTGTGACCTGCCATCTCCTAAAAATCCTACAAATCCTGGAGTAGTACTCCATTAATGCAGGCTAAAGAAACCATAAGAATTCAGTGTTTCCCCGTCTCCTTTCTTTACCTACATGTGTCATGGGTATCTAGAACAATGCCATTGAGCACCAATATTACTCTTGTAACTTACTCCTCTTAAACTGCAAACACTTGTAAATACATGAATGCTCATAAGAAAAGAGCACTTTTGGTGCCTGTAGTTATGAGACAATATTTTACAAGAATAATTTGGGGGGTGTGAAATATTAAAAGTAGAAATCCTATTTTATGATATCATGACTTCCATAAACACAGGATATGCATTTTTATATTCAATGAACTTTAATAAATAAGGAAAACACCAAAACTAGTTATTTACATTTGTTTGATCATTTGTTCAGCAAATATTGATGGAGTGCTGACTATGTATGAAGCACAGTAGACCCTTTCCAACAGTCTCAAAGGGACCCTCTGACAATTACTACGCGCCCACTGAAGGACAGACACAAGCAATGCATTTTAGGAGTGGGGAAGGAAGCCCAGTGAAGTTCACTGATTTGGTGGCCAATTTAGTACCAAATTCTCATCTCTAAAATTCCCCAGGTGGTAGCCTTGCCATGTAGACAGGCTGTAGGAGCGAATACGAAAGACTGAACTCTAAGGAGTTTAGGACTTTAAGGATTTATGGCTCTGATTCTGGCATCTGACAGCCCTGTAGATGGGGAGAAATCCTCTTAACTTCTGTTTTCCTCAGTTTCCTTACTTTAAAATGGGAGTTGATACTTCTACTAAACTCACAAGGCTGTCTTGGCTATTAAATGAAATAATATCCATAAAGATGTTTTGAAAATGGCATAAATCTAAATCTAAATGGTGAAATATTATTATTATTATCATCATGGCTGTTTAAAATCACTATTTTAATTCATATTTTTCTTTTTCTTCAAAATTTAACAGAAAGAATTTTTAGAGAATAGACATGTTTTCTCAATCCTGAGCTCCTCTCCTTTCCTCATTCTGCCCCTAGGAAATCCTGGATCTTCGACAGCGAAGGCAGATGTCTCTGCAGCTACTCCCCTTCGTTAGTCCACAAGAACTGACCATAAGGTACAAGGAAAAACAGCTAAAGGGAAAGTACTGTAGAAGCTAAATTTTATTAGATTGCCAAAAGGAGGTTTGTTTTAAAACAAATGAACACCCTCCTCACACACAAAAATATCAGAATCAATCAAGACACAGTGTAATATAGTTTTCTATTAACTTTTTCTAAAATCTTAGCTGTTGAACTTGGCCACATGAAGTAATGCTAACAATGATTGTTTTATACAAGAACATTGATTTCAAACACAAAGATTAATCCAGAATCCAGTAATAATTCCAGAAATCTTACATGATCCAGATGGAGCCTCCCCAGCAGTCCCATGACACACGGGAGCCTGGCCACTGGCAGCCAGCACAGCAAACAAGCCGTGTACAAAGCAAAACTGAACTCACCGGTACATCATGGGCAGGAGGAAGAAGAGGATCTTGCAGGTCTGCACCCACTGAACTCAACTTTCCAAACAACTGTATGACATCTCTAGATACAGTAGAAGTCTACAGCTAGTAGAAAGAAGGAAACAAATTACAAGTAGTTGAAGTGAAATGAAACTAGTTTGACAAGTCTGAACAGAGAAGCCTCAACCCATAGAATAGCTTGAAGAAAACAGCCAGAGACAGTATAGTCCCAACAAGAAAGCAATATATATTTTTTTTTTTTGGTATTGACTAATTTTATTAAAGGAGAAGAAGCCGGTTGCAAGGATTTGAATGAGAAATATGTTAGGAATGTTCTAGGATTAAGAGTTTAAAGAAGATTATTGGGAGGTATACAAATATCTTAAAGAAACCTTCATATAAAAGCTCTCAATAAAAACAATCAGATCTTAAAACCTAGACACATAGTGTAACTCAAGAAATACTCCTTAAATTCTTTTTGAACAACAGGTATCTCCATGTATTACTGGGATGTAGTGAATTTATTAGTACATAATAATTTTTCTTTCAAAAATACATACCACCGAGAGTATAGACAAATTATTAATATCAAACCAGATTTTTCCCAAAGTGACTTAGCGCAATAAACATATGTATAGCAGCATTTATCAGAATGAAGAAAACCAAAAGAGAAGAAAAAATTTTTTCAATTAGATAAACAATATATGTATACATGCTCTTGAAACCTTAGAAAAGAGGTTGAAGCCCTGTTTGACCATGCCATAATATTGGTCCATTTTCTTCTCCTCAGAAGCAACTATGGGGTCTATCTTTCCACAGAACATTCTAGGCATTTATATACACATGCACACATATACACACACGTGCAAACACAAACATATATCCACAGAAAAACATATATGCATCTTAACTTAAAAGTATCATATTGTATACATTCTTCTGCAATTCAGTTTTACGTTGCTTAATATTTGGAAGAGCTTTCTATTTGGGGAGATACAGATCTCTCCTTTATTCTTTTTAACAGTTACATGATGTATGAAAATATTTAGTATTTAGCCTTGGTTATACTTTTACAACCAAATGGTACCCATTTAAAGGGAAATTCAGCAGTCATTGCATCTAACACTTAGAGAAAGTTCATTTGAAATAATCTTTGATGGTACGACATCGTGCTTTAAGTGCATAGACTCTAGAGTCAGAGTGCCTGGATTCCAATCTTAGCAGTGTCTGCCATGTCTGTAAAATAGAAATAATACTAGTAATTTCCTTGCCCTGTTTTTGTGGAATGCAAATAAGTTAAAACTGTATATGTAAAATGTTTAGAATAGTGCCTTCTGAAATGGAAGCACTACAGAAATATTGCCTATTATTAAGACTTTAGTTCATGGGCATATGTTTTCTTATCTAATATTTAACAGGAAAAAAACGTAGTAAAGGTCATTCTATTGAACTATACAATGAGCACACATAGTTACATTCCTTCTTTTCCCTCCTTTTTTTTTTTTTTTTTTTCTGGCACAGTGCTTTACTGAATATTGAAAAGGGCATGGACTTGGAACAGAATTCTGACTCCCTGCCAGTTATGTGAATCTGGACAGGCTACTCAAACCCTTTGAGCATCATTTTTCTCCCATGTAGAATGAATGACTTATGTGAGAATACATGGCATAATGTGTGTGACGCCGTCTAACACACTTCCTGGCAATAAATGGCAGCTTCTGCTGTGGGTGGCAGAAGGCCCTGTATCTCCTCTTTGTAGGGAGATACATTTGTCTGCAAATCCTGGCTGTACCACATAGCTGTTGTTTGGCCCCTCTACGTCTTGGCATCCTCATCTGCAAATGGTATTAATAATAGCTTTCCATACTATTGTATAAATTAAAGGAAACAATATGTGTAAATGCCCTTGACTATAGGGTACAAACAAGAACTGAATAGTGGACTGTGTTAAGTTGATTCACATTGTTTGCTACCATTACCACCGTCTATCTCCAGAGTTTTTCATCTTCCCAAGCTGAAACTTTGTGGCTACAAAACACTAACTCCCCATGCCCCCTGCCCTCCAACCCTGGAAATCACCATTTTACTTCCTGTGAAATTAATTTGACTACCTCATATAAGTGGGATCATATAGTATTTGTCGTTTTGTGACTGGTTTATTTCACTTAGCATAATGTCCTCAAGGTTTATACATGTTGTAGCACGTGTTGGAATTTCTACCCTTTTTAAATCTGAAAAACATTCCATTGTGTATACAAACACACACACACACACACACACACACTGTTTGTTCATTCATCTGTTGATGGCTTCTTGGGTTGCTCCTACCTTTTGACAGTTGATGGATTCTTGGGTTGCTCCTACCTTTTGACAATTGTGAATGACATTGCTATGGACATGGTGTCCTGCTTTCAATTCTTTTCAATATGTACCTTGATGTGGCAATGCTAGTTTATATGATAATTTTATGTTTAACTTTTTTTTTTTTTGAGACAGAGTCTTGCTTTGTTGCCCAGGCTAGAGTGAGTGCCGTGGCGTCAGCCTAGCTCACAGCAACCTCAAACTCCTGGGCTCAAGCAATCCTCCTGCCTCAGCCTCCCGAGTAGCTGGGACTACAGGCATGCACCACCATGCCCGGCTAATTTTTTGTATATATCTTTAGTTGGCCAATTAATATCTTTCCATTTATAGTAGAGACGGGGTCTCGCTCTTGCTCAGGCTGGTTTCGAACTCCTGACCTCGAGCAATCCGCCCGCCTCGGCCTCCCAGAGTGCTAGGATTACAGGCGTGAGTCACTGCGCCCGGCTATGTTTAACTTTTTGAGAAACCAACTGTCATATCTTTTCCCACAGCAACTGCACCATTGTCCATTCCTATCAGCAATGCCCAAATGTTCCAATTTCTCAACATCTTTGCCAACACATGTTATTTTCTGCTTTCCCCCATCCTAATGTGTATGAAGTGATATTATATTTTTGATTTGCATTTTCCTAATGATTAATGATGTTAAGCATCTTTTTATGTGCTTATTGCCATTTGTATATTTTCTCTGGAGAAATGTTTATTCAAGTACTTTGCTCATTTTGAATGCATTGTTTTTTAGTTGAATTGTAGGAGTTCTTTATATACTCTGGATATTAACCTCTTATCAAGTATATGATTTACAAATATTTTCTTCTATTTCATGGGTTGTCTTTTCACTCAGTTGATATTAGTAATATCCTCTGATGCACAAAAGTTTTTAATTTTGATGGAGTCCAGTTTATTTATTTGTTCTTTATTGGGCTGTGCTTTTGGTATCATGTCTAAGAAATCATCGCCAAAGCCAATGTCATGAAGCTTATCTCCTGTGTTTTCTTTTCATACATTTATATTTTTAGCTCTTACATTTAGGTCTTCGATCTCTTTTGAGTTAATGTTTGTACATAGTGAAGTAAGGGTACAAGTTCATTCTTTTGCATGTGGATATCCAGTTTTCACAACACCATTTGTTGAAAAGACTGTCTTTTACTCATTGAATGGTCTGGGCACCCTTCTCAAAAATCATTTGATCATTTATGTGAGGGTTTGTTTCTGGACTCTCTACTCTATTCCATTAGTCTAGGTCTGTCTTTCTTTCAGTATCACACTCTTTTGACTAATGTAGCTTTGTAGTAAGTACTGAAATCAGGAAGTGTGAGTTCTCTAACTTTCTTCTTTCTCAAGATTGTTCTGGCTATTCAGGATCCCTTGAAATTCCATATAGATTTTAAGATGGATTTATCTATTTCTGCCAAAAAGTCATTGGGATGATTTAGTTTTGTCTACTAAGTCCAATGTCTGTGGTTCCTCAGGATTTGTTTCTGTTAATTTCTACCTTTCTTAAGTATGGGCTGTACTCTTTTGCTTCTTTGCATGATTTATGTTTTTTGCAGGAAACTGTACCTTGAATATTAACCCTTTGCACTCGGATGTCAAGTGTGGATAATGTCGAATGGATAATGAGAAAAAAGCAAGCGAGTGCAAAGGGTTAAGATATGGCAACTCTGGGAATCAGATTATCCCCTCTCCCCACAGTTTGTTGTTGTTGCTTGCAGTTGTAGTTGTTAAGTGTGTTTAGTGACTTTTCTAAACTATTTTAAAGACTGTTCTTTGTCATGTGTGGCCCCTGCAGTCTTTATTCCTTTAGCTTAGTGGTCAGCTAGTGAATTTCCTGGAATGCTTGGAACCAAAAATATAAAAATAAAAATAAAAAAAATAAAGCAAAACCCCAAACAAATCAATTCTCCAGGTCTTTTCAAATTGGCTCTGTGTTGGAGCACATTTTTAACATAGCCAGGCCATTTACAACTCTTCCTAGGTTTTTACATCCTGTTTTTTCTGAGTCTAAAGAATAGCCAGAGATCAAAGATTGCAGTCTTCTTAAGTTTTTCTGAGCATGCATTCTGCTCTGTGCATGCATGTGGCTTTTCTGCAACCCCAGTATAACGTACAGGACCTGTCCAAAGCCCCAGTTCTCCAAAGTATCCTACTCCCTACCTGCTCCTTCCAGGCCTTCAGGTACCTACTGTTTGTCCCAACAGTTATCTTTTGTGCCAAGTGACCCCAGCTTGTTAATTAGCCATTTCGTGTTTCAAAATAACATACTCCATGTTGCTGTTTCTCTAGCCATCAAAAGGCTCTAGTTAGGAGGAACAAAGTCAAGCCTTTTGAGTTAGTCTCTTAGAGATCTCCAGATATGTTAAAACAGACAAACACAATTCCTTGGGAATAAGATCTGCTATGATTCCCCTGGAACTTCAAACCTGCCATAGGAATGTGAGCTGCTGTCTTAGAGACTGCCTCCCTGCCAGGGAGTTGGGTGGGGCAAGGGTAAGTTAAAACACCATGAACATCTCCCACTGGGCTTCACTGGCCATTCTCTTCTCAATTAAGTGTTCACTTGGTCACTGTAAACCTTTGACTATCTTGTAGGTTTCAGAAGTGATTCTCAGTTTTATAGTATTTTATTTATTTAATTTATTTTTGCAGTTTCTGGGG